CTGCCCTGAGTCCTTTAGGGGAGATTCAGGAGGGGTATAATAATAATAATAATAATAATAATAATAATAATAATAATAATAATAATAATAATTATTATTATTATTATTATTATCATCAAAGGGAAAAAGTATATTTTGCTGTTCATGCTTCCTTGATCCATTCCTGAATTTCCTGAGATACACGAGTGTCAGGTGAGTATGCCTAGACCAGCCTATTGTTATCAACATGAGGCATGCTCTTCATTTCCTCTCAGCGTCTGTGAAGTCCTGTGCCAAAAATAAAAAAAAACCAAAGGCAAAGGAGATGGACCCCAAAAATGTGTGTGTGCCTTCAAGTCACCTGTTGGCTTGTGGTGACCCCATGAATTTCATAGTTTTCCTAGATACAGAATATCCAGAGGTGGTTTGGCAGAATTTGGCTTTAGCTGACTGGGATACACACATGTAAATCACACACAGGGAGGTAGTCTAAATCTATCCTCCCTTCTCCCCTGTCAGCCACAACTGCCTATCTGGAGAGCAAATGCTGCCAAACATGTTTTAAATGGCAGCTGTCCTAGACGTACATCAAGATCTGTTTTGAGATTACAATATCCTCTTCTACATCCCTCCTAAAGTAAATAAATGTAAATAGTTGTGGTTAGTTTAATGTACAATTGCTGGAAAAGAACAGAAATATCCTAGACTAGTGTTTCTCAACCTTCCTAATGCCAGGGCCCCTTAATACAGTTCCTCATGTTGTGGTGACCCCCAATCATAAAATTATTTTCATTGCTACTTCGTGACTGTAATTTTGCTACTGTTATGAATCATAATGTAAATATCTGATATACAGGATGCATTTTCATTCACTGGACCAAATTTGGCACAAATCCATGATACACCCAAATTTGAATGCTGTGGGGTTGGGGGGAGGTTGATTTTGTCTTTTGGGAGTTGTAGTTGCTGGGATTTAGAGTTATCCTACAATCAAAGAGTATTCTGAACTTCACCAATGATTGAATTGAACCAAACTTGGCACACAGAACTCCCATGACCAATAGAAAATACTGGGAGAGTTTGGTGGGCATTGACCTTGAGTTATGGGGTTGTAGTTCACCTACATCCACAGAGCAATATGGACTTAAACAATGATAGATCTGAACTTGGCACAAATACTCAATATGCCCCAATGTGAACACTGGTGGAGTTTGGGGAAAACAGACCTTGACATTTGGGAGTTGTAGTCGCTGGGATTTATAGTTTACCTACAATCAAAGAGAATTCTGAACACCAATGATAGAATTGGGCCAAACTTCCCACAGAGAACCCTCATGCACTGAAGGGAATTGCTGGTGTGTGCCTCCCTCCAGCCTCTCACGCTCTCCCTCACCTGCACATGTGCACCACGCTGCCATGCGCCAAGCATGCCTGCTCTCCCCTCCCAGCTTGGAATCTCAGAAACAGCCCTCCCTTTGACTGAGAGTCCAGCCCTTCACAGTGGAGGAGGGCTTTTGCTGGGAGGATTCGCCATCTGTTTCCAAAAAGGAAGAGAAGGACAGGGAGAGGTCTTCAGCTTTCTCTGCCAAAGGGATTCCTAAGACCACTAGAGGCAACCCCTCCGAAACCCCTAGTGAGGGGCCCCAACCCCTAGGTTGAGAAACACTGTCCTAGACTGATGGGAGAGGGGCATCTGGACAGCAATCTTTGCTGTGAAAATAAAATATGCAACTATCCCAGGGCTCCCTTTTCTCAGTTGCAAAATGCAAAGGCTTGCTTTCATTGTGCAGTTCTGCATGGGAGAAAAGAAGAATGCTTAGACACAGAGCTTGAAAAGAGTCACTTTTGTGGTGGATAACTCCTGGAATCCCCCAGCCAGCATGGGAGATTCTGGGGCTACTTCTCTAAAGCAGCGGCATGTCCAGGCTCTGCTGACACTTCACAGACTGTGGCTGGTGCCCACATTTCAAAAACTGGCACAACCAGTTTGTTAATTACCTTTCAGCCAGAGGTGGGGCTATATGGTGCAAGGGTCAGGTTGGTTTTCCAAAGCAGAGACCCACAGACATTTTATATGTTTTTTATTTAATATATATCCTGCCTTTCTCTCAACATGGAGTCTCACAGCATAGATATAAAAGCAAAGTTAATAAACGAATGAAAATAAGTTTAAAAAGCAATGAAATATATATCTGCCTTCAAGTTGCCTGCTGACTTATGATGACTCCATGAACTTCATAGGGTTTTCTTAAGAAAGGAATTACTTAAGAAATGCTGTTACTACTTCCTTCCTCTGAAATACAGCCTACAGCACCTGGTATTTCTTGTTTGGGTAAAGGTCTGGGTAAGGGATTAGGCTTAGGCTTACGGTATGGTTCAGGGTTAGGGCAAGGGTTAGGGTAAGGGTTTCACCATTAAAGAACTCGGTGATAGTATGATAGCTGGGTCAAGAAGCTCTGAGCATTTCGGAGATGCTGCAAAGGTTCGAATAAGGCTGTGAAAAAGGGAAGAAAGGGACGGAGTGAGAGTGGGGGGAGCGAAGGAAGGATAGAAGGAGGGGATGCTTAGGGTAAGGGTTAGGGCAAGGTTTAGGGTTTGGATTAGCATAAGGGTTAGGGTAAGGTTTAGGGTTTGGAGTTTGGGTTAGCGTAAGGGTTAGGTTAAGGGTTAGGATTTGGGTAAGGGATAGGGTAAGGATTAGAGCAGTGGTTCTCAACCTGGGCTCCCCAGATGTTTTTGGCCTACAACTCCCAGAAATCCCAGCCAGTTTACCAGCTGTTAGGATTTCTGGGAGTTGAAGGCCAAAAACATCTGGGGACCCCAGGTTGAAAACCACTGGATTATAGTAAGGATTAGGGTAAGGGGTTAGGCTTACAGTACGGTTCAGAGTTAGGGTAAAGGTTAGGGTTTCACCATTAAAGAACTTGGTGATAGTATGATAGCTGGGTCCGGAAACTCCTGTCGTTATGGAGAGGCCGCAAAGGCGGCTGTGTATAAGGGAAGAGAGGGGGTGGAGTGAGAGCGGGGAGAACAAAGGAAGGATAGAAAGGAGGGGACACTTAGGGTAAGGGTTAGGGCAAGGTTTAGGGTTTGGGTTAGCATAAGGGTTAGGGTTAGGGTAAGGTCAGGGGCGGCTCGTCCATTATGCAAAGTAAGCGGTTGCGGTACACTTTTTTTGCCAGGGGTGCAGAGGCGCCTCTGTAAATGCCCCTCGATTGCCACTTGAGGAGCACCCCCTCAACTCACAACAGCCCTAGCAGTCCAGGGGGAGCCTTGGCTTCCTTGCCTCACTGCCGGGTGATCCTCTTCCCGAAGGGGACGGGCCCTTGAGCCTCCCCTAGCCCCTCTCGTTCCTGCTTTATATCAATGATTGGTGTGTGTGTGGGGGAGGGGGGGACCATAATACAGTTTGCTTACCGTTGAAAATTACCTAGGGCCGCCCCTGGGTAAGGTTCAGGGTAAGGTTCAGGTTTAGGGGTTGGGGGGGGGGTTGTTGTGTCACGAGGGACTTCTGGTGTGAGAGAATTGGCCGTCTGCAAGGACATTGCCCAGGGGACACCCAGATGATTTAATGTTTTTATCATCCTTGTAGGCTGAGCGAAGGAAGATAGATGCTTTTGAACTGTGGTGTTGGAGAAAAGTTCTGAGAGTGCCGTGGACTGCGAGAAGATCCAACCAGTCCATCCTCCAGGAAATAAAGGCCGACTGCTCATTGGAGGGAAGGATACTAGAGACAAAGTTGAAGTACTTTGGCCACATCATGAGGAGACAGCAAAGCCTAGAGAAGACAATGATGCTGGGAAAGTGGAAGGCAAAAGGAAGAGGGGCCGACCAAGGGCAAGGTGGATGGATGGCATCCTTGAAGTGACTGGACTGACTTTGAAGGAGCTGGGGGTGGTGACGGCCGACAGGGAGCTAGGGCGTGGGCTGGTCCATGAGGTCACGAAGAGTCGGAGACGACTGAACGAATGAACAACATAATCCTTGTGGGAGGCTTCTGTCATGTCTCCCCATGAGGAGCTGTAGCTGATAGAGGGAGCTCACCCACCTCTCCCCGGATTCGAACCTGCGACCTGCCAGCACAGGGGTTTAACGCACTGTGCCACTGGGGGCTCCTAGGTTTAGGGTAAGGCCTAGGGTTTCACCATTAAACAACTCTTCCATTCCTTCCATATTCTCTGTCTCCGACAGGGCTTACATCTGCTAAATCTCTCTTGCGCCAACAGCGCTCCCGAAGGAGCGATGCGGCATCTCCGTAAGGCTCAGAGCTTCCGGACCCAGCTATCCTACTCTTCCCCGGTTGAGAACTCCTGCCTTCAAGGCTTATCAGGGGCTACCGAGGGGTCAATGCGCGAGTCGGGGTTGGAGGCTTGCGGAAGGCGCCTTTTGCGCAGGCAGGGCTGTGCGCACGCATCCGTGGGGCCGAGGGGGCGGCGAGTGGGGAGCTTGGGGAAAGCGCCTTCTTCCCTCATTCCCCTGCAGAGGGAGCCGGGCGCCCTTCCCGCGTCGGAGAAAGAGAGAGAGAGAGAAAGAGAGGAGGAGGCGGAGCAGGTGCTGCAGCCTCCTCCGTCGCCACCGCCGCGTACCTTTCTTTCCCTCACAGGAGGAGGAGGAGGAGGAGGAGGAAAAGGCGGGCCAGAGGGCTGGGCTTTGCAGGTTGCGAGCCCAAGGAAGCCTTGGAAGGAAGAGAAGGAAAAAGAGGGGCCGAGGAGCTTCGGAGCCTCCCTCTCCCCCTCTTTTCTTTCTTATTTTCCATTCCTCCCGAAGAAGGGAAACCTCCCCTTGCGGAGGAGAGGGAGAAAGAGGCGGGAGAGGCCCATGTGGGGCTTCGGCGGAGGGAAAGCAGCCTGAGAGATTGAGAGAGAGAGGAGTGAGGCTGCGGCTTTTTTGTTTCCCAAAGCGAAGATGGGCGCGCCTTGAAGGAGCTGGCTGAGGCGAGGAGGCGGGAGAGCCTCGTCGAAAGCTCCTTCTGTATGTCCTCTATGGGAGCCTGAAAGCCCCCTCCCCTCTCCTGCTGCCGGATGGCGATAGACCGGCGCCGAGACGAAGGGGGAGGCGAGGCGGGCGGGGGCGGGCCCCTCGCCCCCCTCCCCGAGGAGAACGGCGCCCTGCCGGCCGGGGAGGCGGACCCCGCCGCGGTGCCCGAGGCCCCTGCTGCTGCTGCTGCTCGTGGTGATGGTGATGGTGGTGCGGCGGTGATCGCGGTGGCGGAGATCCAGAGCTTGCCCCCTCCGCCCGCCCCTCCGGCGGGGCCCTGCAGCCCTTTGCTGCTGGACTACGATGGCTCCGTGCTGCCCCTCCTGGGGGGCCTGGGCGGCGGGCACCAGCGCACCCTCATCCTCCTCACCTGGATCCCGGCCCTCTTCATCGGCTTCAGCCAGTTCTCGGACAGCTTCCTCCTGGTGCAGCCCGTCTCCTGGTGCAAGGGCGCCGACGGGCAAGGCAACGCCACCACCGCCCACCCGCCCATGCCGCCCCGCGCCCTGGGATACAACGCCTCCAGCGCCGCTTCTGCCGCCGACAACGCCACGGGCTACAGCCGCGGCATGCAAGCCGCCCCCCAGCTCCCCACGCCTGAGGCCCCCAACCAGAGCTACTGCGAGTGCAGCGAGAGATACCACCGCATCACGGCGGGGCTCCGGCAGAACATCGTCAGCCAGGTAAACGGTCTTCTTCCCCCCCCCCCCGGTCCTTTCCTCCCTACTGGCCCTTTAAGAGCGGCGTGGGATTCCCGCAGGCGTCCTTTGCCGGGCAACCTGCTCATCCCTCTTGTCCTTAAAGGCCCCCCCTCTGCATGTGAGGGAAAAGGGAGACTTCCCTTCCCTGGCGTCCTCAACGCATAATTTATTCATTTATTTACTCTGTATCCCGCCTTTCTCTACCCCGAAAGGGGGTGGCTTTAACAAATAATAAGAATAATCTATATAAATAAAAATGTAATGTTCTGGGTTGTTGTAGGTTTTTTCGGGCTGTATGGCCATGGTCTAGAGGCATTCTCTCCCGCCGTTTCGCCTGCATCTATGACAAGCATCCTCAGAGGTAGTGAGGTCTGTTGGAACTAGGAAAAAGGGTTTATGTATCTGTGGAATTACCAGGGTGGGGCAAACGACTCTTGTCTGCTGGAGCTAGGTGTGAATGTTTCAACTGACCACCTTGATTAGCATACAATGGGCTGACTGTGCCTGGAGCAAACTTTTGTTGAGCGATAATTAGATGTCCCTGCCTGCTTCCTCTCTGTTGTTGTGCTGTTGCAATTTTAGAGTTTGGCTACCAGTATTAAAAACCTACAACAATCCAGTGATTCCAGCCATGAAAGCCTTCGACAATACAATGTAATGTTCGTTTGTGGGATTAACATAACTCAAAAACAACTGAGCGAATTGACACCAAATTTGGCCACAAGACACCCAAGGAGTGACCATCACTCAAAAAATGGATTTTGTAATTTGGGAGTTGTAGTTGCTGGGATTTATAGTTCACCTACAATCAAAGAGCATTCTTAACTCCACCAATGATTGAATTGAACCAAACGTGGCACAAAGGACTCCCTTGACCAACAGAAAACACTAAAAGGGGTTGGTGGGCACTGACCTTGAGTTTGGGAGTTGTAGTTCACCTACATCCAGAGAGCACTATGGACTCAAACAATGATGGATCTGGAGCAAACTTGGCACGAATATTCCATATGCCCAAATATGAACACAGATGGAGTTTGAGGGAAATAGACCTTGACATTTGGGAGTTGTAGTTACTAAGATTTATAGTTCACCTACAATCAAAGAGCATTCTGAACCCCACAAACACAGAATTGGGGCAAACTTCCCACACAGAACCCCCATGACCAACAGAAAATACTTAAGGCCATCCAGTCCAACTCTCTTCACCAGGGCAAGAAAACATAATCAAAGCCCTCCTGACAAAGAGCCATCCAGCCATAGATATAGATATGATTCACACACACACAGATATAGAATCATGGATTTGAAAGGGACCCTTAAAGAAGGACAATGATATCTTGCCTGTTCCAGAGTAGGCAAACCAGACAATCCCCACTTCAACACTGACAAAGCAACAGCAAGAAATACTGTTTACCCACAAGCATTAAGAAATTACAGATTAGAAACCATTACTTTATTTTCCAGATCACCAGACTGGGCCACAGCAACGTGTGGCAGGGGACGGCTAGTCTATATTAATAAAAATGTAATGTTCGTTTGTGGGATTAACAGAACTCAAAAACCACTGGGTGAATTGACACCAAATTTGGCCACAAGATACCTACTAACCCAATGAGTGACCATGACTCAAAAAAATGGATTTTGTCATTTGGGAGTTGTAGTTGCTGGGATTTATAGTTCACCTACAATCAAAGAGCATTCTGAACTCCACCAATGATGGAATTGAAGTACACCTGGCACACAGGACTCCCATGACCAACAAAAAACACTAGAAGGGTTTGGTAGGCATTGATCTTGACTTTGGAAGTTGTAGTTCACCTACATCCAGAGAGCTCTGTGGATTCAAGCAATGATGGATCTGGACCAAACTTGGCAGGAATACTCAATATGCCCAAATATGAACACAGATAGAGTTTAGGGGAAATAAACCTTGACATTTGGGAGTTGTAGTTACTGGGATTTACAGTTCACCTACAGAGAGCATTCTGAACCCCATGAACTGTTAACCCACAAGCGTAGAGAAATTGCATATATTAGAAACCAGCACTTTCTCATTACTTTATTTTCTAGATCACCAGACTGGGCCACAGCAATGTGTGGCAGGGGACGGCTAGTAGTAGTAGTAGTAGTAGTAGTAGTAGTAATAATAATAATAATAATAATAATAATAAAGTACTCCTGATCTCACAATAGTGTTAAAAAACCAAAGTATGGATTGTCGATGTTGCAATCCCAGGTGACAGCAGGATTGAAGAGAAACAACTTGTAAAGCTGACATGATATGAGGATTTGAAGATTGCACTGCAAAGACTCTGGCACAAGCCAGTCAAGGTGGTCCCAGTGGTGACCGGCACACTGGGTGCAGTGCCTAAAGACCTTTGCCTGCACTTGAACACAATCGGTGCTGACACAATGACCATCTGCCAGTTGTAAAAGGCTACCTTACTGGGATCTGCATGCATTATTTGCCAATACATCACACAGTCCTAGACACTTAGGAAGTGTCCACCGTGTGATCCAGTACAACAGACAGCAGAGTGTCTGCTGTGGGTTCATTTTGTTGTGTTCAAATAATAATAATAATAAATCTTATTTATACCCTGCCACCATCTCCCCCAACGGGGACTCGGGGCAGCTTACATGAGGCCAAGCCCAAACAACATATTACAATAAAATAAAAACCAAAACACAAACAACAACGTAGTAAAATACAAAAACAATAAAGCAATATACACAAAACATAAGACTGCAATGAACAATCATAATGACAATGAGCGGGCCGCATGTACAATAAAATAATTAAAAATTCAGGGTGATATAAAAAGAACAGATTATTTGCAAGGGAGAACTCATAGAGAAGTAGGGTAGTGAACAGGCCTTTGTACAAGGGGGAAGTGTACTCCTAGGATAAAAACGTTGAGGGGAGCAATAGCATAAGATAGTGTGGCTACTCTCCAAAAGCTCAACGGCAGAGCCAGGGCTTGAGATTATTTTTAAAGATTTCTAAGGTAGGGGCTTTCCTAATCTCTCTGAGCAATGAGTTCCAGAGTTGGGGGGCTCTCTCCCTTGTACCCACAAGACGAGCCTGTGAAACTGGCAGGGGCGAAAGGAGGGCCTCCCCCGAAGATTGAAGAGCTCAGGCTGGTTCATGGCAGGAGATACAGTCACGAAGATAGGTGGGTCCCAAACCATTTAGGGCTTTATAGGTAAGAACCTGTACCTTGAATTGGGACCGGAAGATGAACGGCAGCCATTGAAGCTCCTTAAAAAAATCTTTATTTATATACCGCTCTATCTCCTCGAGGGGACTCATAGTGGTTTCCAAGTAACATCATCAATATATACAGAGTAAACAACATAAACATAAGATTAACAACACAAAAAAATTTGTGAGGAAGAACTTCAATTCATATCTGAAGATACATGTGATACCACCAAATGTAAAGAGATTTGGAGAGAAATGGAGAATCCTCTTTTTTTAGTATCCATACACTCTCACTTGCTGGTTTATCTAAGTTTTCTTGAAGTTCCACTTGAAAAATGGGAAGGTTCTTCTCCTTGTGTTTCAGCACCTTCTATCAGGGCAAGGTCTGACTTCAAGGTCTGACAAACAATACACTTAGGTTAAAAAATTAAAATCATGCCCTCCTCAGTCATAGGATGGTGGAACAGGAGGCCCATTCCAAAGATCAACTGCATGTATTTTGAGGCTATTATTTCACTATAGAGTAATCTCCAAAGGCTTGACCCCAGAGCCAAGTTTTCACTTTCCTTCTGAAGGCCAGGAGGGAGGGAGCTGCTCTAACATCACTGAGGAGAGAGTTCCACAGCCGAGGGGCCACCACTGAGAAGGCTCAGTCTCTCATGCCCACCAGACTCTCCTGCAACAGAGGCAGGACCTAGAACAGGGTCTCCTCAGACTCCTAACTCCTACCTTCTTTTTTGCCCTTCCCTATAACCTAGAATATCAAGGAATATAATCCACATTATCTGCTTTGGGCTGGGTTGTCTGAGTCCATACTGCCATATAACCCAATTCAAAGCAGATAATATGGGATTTTATATAGCTGTGTGGAGGGGGGCTTTTTTAAACCCTCTATAAATGCAGAAAAGTACATGAATTGGGGTACCATATCTTCCTTAAAGGCACAGGATTCCTGCCTTCATTGATAATGTAGGAAAAATGTGGATTGCTCATCCGCATTGTCCTTAAAGGCACAGGACCCCTTTACCCATTAATAATGTAGGAGAAAGGTGGATTGCTCGTCCCTATTGTCCTTAAAGGCACAGAACCCATTCCCCCATCTATAATGTAGGGAAAGTGACAGAACCCATTCCCCCATTTATAATGTAGGGAAAGTGAATTGGTCATCCTTATCCTTCTTAAAGGCATAGGACTCCTGTTCCCATTTATAATGTAGCGAAAATGTGGATGTTCATCCGTATTGTCCTTAAAGCAACGGTTCCCAACCTTTTTTGACCAGGGACCACTCTCCAACATTAGTATGAAAAGGGTTACAAATCCATTTTTGGTCAACAGTTTGGCTATTTGAGGTGCTGGTTCAGAAAATTGCATTGGATAGACCACATCAGCTCTAATTTCTGATACAGAACATACGCCATCCAGTAGTCACCATCTGCTCATGTTCAGCAAACCATATTTAATAAGCCTCAGCATTATATGAGAGTTTTGCAAGACCAGTTGCTCTAGTTGCAATGGTGTAATGAGGCCGCGGACCATATTTTAGTTCTTGTAGACTACTAGTGGTTCATGCACCACTTGTTGGGAACCACTGCCTTAAAGGCACAGGACTTCTGTCCCCATTTATAATGTAGTGAAAATGTGGATTGCTCATCCTATTGTCTTTAATATTGTCCCTGAAGACACAGGACTCCTTTACCCACTGATAATGTAGGAAAAGGGTGGACTGCTCAACCATATAGTTCTTAAAGGCACAGAATTCTTGCACCCACTGATAATG